GATGTTGTCTCCATGAGGTTCACAGAGGACATTCCAGTCTGTGGCCTCAAAGCATCCTCTCAGAGCATCTTCAGCCTCCGTAGACCAGGTTTTAATAGTCCTCCTAATGACTGGCTGCTGCTTAGCGACGGGTTTGTAGGTAGAGGTGAGAAGAACCAGATTATGATCTGATCTTCCTAAAGGAAGCAGGGCAGAGGAGCTGTATGTTTAGCTACCACGGAGCTGATGACATCACAGGCTGTCTCTGGTGCGGTACCTGGTATTATATAAACCACTACCAGAATAACACAGGCAAACTCTCTGGGTAAATAATATGGACGGACACTCACAGCTAGCGGTTCGATGTCTCTTGTGCAGATCTTCTCCTTGACAGTGACATGTCCAGGATGGCACCAACGCTGATTAACCAGCACTGTAATACCACCTCCCTTCAGCTTCCCGCTGAGCTGTTTATTTTGGTCTGCACGGACCGTCTTGAAGCCGGGTACAGACGCATTACAGTCCGGGATGTGTTCATGTAGCCATTTCTCAGTGAAGCACATAATATTGCACTCTCTGTACTCTTTTTGAGACCTTGTTAGCATTTCAAGCTCGTCCATCTTGTTAGCTAGCGATCTTATGTTACCCATGACAACAGTTGGAAGAAATGGTTTAAATCTCCATCGTTTTTCTCTCTGCCTTACTCCTGCTCTGCAGCCTCTTCTCTTCCTCTTTAACTCCACTGGGATTTGATGTATTATTTCGCCGAAAATTTTGATTTGGGAGAGTTTTAACAGTTGATCACGGTTGTAGACAATTTTTCTGTTGCCATGGATACTCATCATAACAACTTGTGAAAAAGGCAAAAACATATGCAGAAAAATCTCCTGAGTTGCAGAGATTTCAACTCAGCATAAAAAATCATCCAAGAAAAAACTTAATCTGACAGGTAATGTCAGTAAAAAGACAACAACATATAAAAAAAAATCCTCAAAAGCAAAAGAAACTGTTACAAATTGCTGCCACCTAGCGGCGCATTCCAGAACAAGTGCACACACAATATCTGACTTGACCAAAGCTTGCCAGCTTCATGCACTGCTCCACTTTAAAATCTATCATCTTGTTGAGATCTGCTAGCCATGCTGTCCATCGCTGATGTTATGACCCTGTGCGGGTCATCTGTGGTGTTTTGTGTTTTTGCTGCCTGTTTCTGTCCTCAGTGTGAGTGTGTGCATGTGTGTGGTGAACGAATGGATTAGGAGCAGGTGGTGACCCTAGATTGGCTGTCTCACCTGCTGCCGCGCCGGATTCCAGCCACCCAATTGGTCAGAGGGCGGACCAATCCACTATTTAAACAGCCCGCCAGCTGCACTCGTTCTCCTCACCTCCAGCCTCACCACCTCGGAGAAAGCCAGCAGGCCATCGCAACTGCACCGCAGGAGGATGCAGCAGTAGTGTGTTTGTTCCAGGATCGTGTGAAACAGATCCTGAGTCCTGTAGTGACTCTTTGTAAAAAGTGTAGTTAGAGAGCAGAGTAGGAGGGAGAGGCCTTTTTCTTTTGAACCTTTTTCTCCTGTTTTTTGTTTACTAGGTAGGTAGGTTATTGTCTTTTATTTGCTTTTTCTTTTCTGATAGGGAGGTCAGGGTTCCTGTAGAATAGGTTTTTGTTTGTTATTTTGGCCTATGTTCCCCTCTACATTGTAAAAAATAAAAATAAACTGCTCTTTTGATACCTGGCTTGACGTGTTGCTGGCCTTCTTTGAGGTGGAGAGACTGGTGTGGAGCAAATATCATGTTATGCTCAAGGTTCCCCTAGACCGGGGCATAACACTGAGAAAAGGTTTGGGGTGTGTTTTCATCCCATCCAAGGTTTTCCTTACAGAGATTCTGCATAATCAGTTTGGCTGGCAGAGTAAATGGTGCAAGAAATCCTACGGGGTCATAGATTGAACCAACCACTGACAAGATGCCATGTCTTGTGTATGGTCGTTCCTGTGCTGTAATTCTGAACACATCTGTTTCAATGCACCAGTGCAATCCTAGAGCTCTTTCCATCGGCAGATTGTCTTTGTCCAAGTCCAGTTCCTTGGTCTCTTTGGTTCTATTCTCTTGTGGAATGGATACTAACACAACACAGCTGTTGCTGATCCATTTTGACAGCGTGAATCCTCCCTTTTGGCACAGAGCAGTCAGATCTTTTACCATTTGATGTGCTTTCTGTTCCAAAGGCAAGGATTTCAAACAATCATCCACATAGAAGTTGTTATTGTTTATAGTGTTTGTCACCTCTGCTGGAAAGTGAGCTTTGTTGTCTACAGCAGTCTTTCTTAATGCAAAGTTTGCACAACTTGGTGATGATACGGCCCCGAAGACATCTACATTTATCTGGTGTTCAACCAAATCTTGCTGCACATCACCACTGGACCACCACAGGAAACGCAGATAGTCAACATGCTCGTCCAATACTTTGACTTGACGAAAAATTGCTGAAATGTCAGCCATCAATGCAACCTGTTCTTGTCTGAATCTGATGAGAACTCCAATGAGTGAGTTAGTAAGGTCTGGA